GCAGGAGAAATAAGGAAGATGGGAGGTGGCATGTTACAGCTAGCAAACGGTATCTCTTAAAATAAAACATCATCCCTTTTGGCAGTGAAGATGCTCTCTTGGGAGAAAGGAGCCCAAATTCCTGGAGGTTTGGCTTTTAAAGGCTCCCAGCTCCCCAGCACCTGTCGCTCCTTGTGAGCCTGCGCAATGGGAGTGGGGACAGTCCTGGGCTGGCTTTGTTTTGTGAGTGGGCTTTGCTGATGGGGGCTTGGAAACACTCCTGGAAGGAGAATAGCAGGGTGACAACCCAGAATTATGGAGAGCAGAGCTAAAAGGAGCTGCTGTTTCGTTTGGTTTGGGTTTTTTATCCAGTGCTTTAGTAGCTGGATGGAAGGTGGCAGCTGAGACAGGTCCAGGCTCTGGCTGCTGTGAAGCAGCGCTGGGTTTTGGATGTTGAGCTCTTGTCAGAGGTTGTCATCATGTGAGGCTCCAGGGTTGGTGTGGAAGCTGCTGTTGTCTGGCTGAAACCCTTGCAGATGGTCCCATCTAAGGGGAGGAGATGCCACAGTGTGGCCGGTGACTTTTGGAGATTGCCTTTGAACTCACTTCTCTGTGCTCGTTCCCTGCTGCTTTCCATCCTTCCCGCTCTTGTTGGATTTTCAGGTTGCAGGGGGTGAGGATTTGCAGCACCCAGAGTTTATTTGCTGGCTGGAGTTCCCTGGGTGGCTTTGGGAAATGCCAGGTCCCCCTGCCCAGGGAAGGCAATGCCGTCTGCTGTGGGTGCACATCCCTGTGAGGCCAGCGGGGCAGGTTTGGGCTGTATGGACTCAGCAAGCAGGAGTGGGAGCAGCTCCATCACCAAGAACCGATGCTGTGCCACCACATTTTAAGAGAAATTCGTTTGCAGCGCTCTCAGCTGCAGCCTGTGTATCGAGTAAGCTCCTGCCTCTCAAATCCAGGCGTGTTCCCAAAGTCCACTGTTGCTTGTCCTACGCCTTTCCCTGCCCCTCTCCCGGCCCAACTTCTTCTCTTGTTTTTGCCGTTTGTCCCAAACCAATGGTAGGTGGGAGGACAACCAGCAGCAGCCTTCAGCATGGAAATCTTGGGGGGGGAAAAGATCTCTTGTGGAGCAGAGATGGATCCTGCTGCTCTGACTTGCCCAGAACCTTCTTGTGCTGCTTGTTCTCCCTCCTCGCCCGCGCTCGGCCACTGCAGCCGTGTGGGAGGCATCGTCCTGGTTCAGGAGATAACAATCCCTGGGGATTTTACTGTGAATCTTCCAAGGAGCAGGGGAGATGGTGCAAAGCCTTTGAGCTTTGCCTGCGTTTTGAACAGCCGAATGAATTTGGCTGTATCCTGCAAGGACGCTGCCGCGTGCTGCCTGCTGTCACCCCAGTGTCAGTCCCAGGCTTTGTGGCACTGACATCGGGGCTGGCACATGCCCTGGGATGTGCCCTGGAACTGGGGCATGGCTTGGCTCCCCTTGGGAACACAAAAGCCACTTTGCTCACACGCTGCATCTTGGTCCCGTGTCCTCCCTCCTGTCCTGCACCGATCTGCTTTGCACTCGCAGAGGGAAGATGATTTTCTGCCTTAAGCATTTTTTTTTAAATGTATTTACATTTTTCTTCTTTTGTCTCCTTGGAAAAGAGGGGCTGGGGCTCTCGGGAGAAGAGTGGAAAATCCCTACAGTAACTGCAGTGGTCACGGTTGGGCTCAGGGGCTGTCACCTCATCAAACCTTCCCTCCCTTACATGACACCATCCCAAATACCACACCTTGGGGTGAGCTGTTGACCTGCCACCACTGTGGGGTTAAACTGGTGTGTTGGCATCCTTTGGGGACTCGGGTCCCTGCTGCAGCATCCTGGCTGCAAGAGAAATGCAGGTTTTGCAGGGGGAGGAGAGGGAAAGGCTGGTGACATTGTGTGTACCCAGAAGCTGATGCCCCAGCCCTGTTCCCAGTGGGAGCTGGAAGCTGCTCTGGTCCCGGCACAGCCGTGCTGCGGTGGGCAAGAGGCACCGGCTCTGCCTGAAGAGACACCCCATGGCCTGACAGTCCCTCAAGCTCTAGAAACCAAATTGCAAACTCTTTGCTCCAGGGGGGAAATTGGGCAGCGTGGTAGAACCTGTGATGAGCTCCTCGTCCCATAGGTCTTGGCAAAGGATCGGCGTTTGGAAGGGGCCCAGGGTGGAAATGCCTCAGTTTCCCCCTGCTCCATTGCCACCTTCCTCTCCCCTCCCTGCTGTGTTGGTCTAAATGATCTTTCTATGAAGCCCTGTAGATGTCAAAAGTAATTATGGAGTGTGATTAGTCCTCTGTGGGTGCTGCTTGCTTTCTTTCCTCCTCCTTTCTCTTTCGCTATCCCCTTCTCCACTCTTCTTTTTTGGCTAAGTGGAAAAGGTGAGGACAAAGAATTGCCGCTTGCTTGGACTCATGATGTATCTGTGACTGCGCTATTAGCTGTCTCCTCTTTCCTCCCCAAATGGATATAATTTTTGAAGTGTGGAATACCCTTCTTGATAAGTAGGTTTAAAAAAAAAAAAAAATTAATTAATGCACAATGTGATACTGTTTCATAGTTTCTAGGTGGTTGTATAAAGCAAAGTTACTGTGATTGTGTTTTTCAAAGGAAAAAGTGA